CGGAGAGCCCGGCAAGCTACCGAGAGTATTCGATATGCCAGACACAGTAACAACAAAGTCTCCAATGGAGACGTTACTGGGCCCGCTCGAGCAAATCGACGATCAACGGGAGGGCCTTTACCTTTACCTTTACCTTTACCTTTCATATCTAGATTTGATTGCAATATATATATTTCATTTCTAGATTTAACTGCAAGATATATAAGATTATGCTGAATACTGAGGCCCCCAGTACTGCTGAACCCAAGCACCAAACCAGGCAGTACAGAACCAGTCAAACATTGCAATGGCTCCAGTTTCCCAGACCCCAAACCTCAGCACCACTGGTATAGTTCTTATTTAAAACTAATAAGCGGGGCCGGAGTGACAATACAGTAGGTAGGGTACTTGTCTTACATGCAGCCAAGCCAGGTTTGATCTTTGCAACCCACATGGTACCCTGAAATCTGCCAGGAGTGATCCTGAACAATGCCACGTTGGCCCAAAGCCCAAAATTAATAAACAACATTTAAAAATCAGGAACATTAACCACTCAACACATTTAATGCTTATATAATAATGTAAACAGCAAACACTGCTTAAAAGACAGTCATCTGGAGTTGAGGGCGGAGCAATAGAACAGCAGGGAGGGTGTTTGCCTTGCATGTGGGAGACCCGGGTTCAATCCCTGGCATCCCGTATGGGCCCCCAAGCACTGCCAGGAGTGATTCCTGAGCGCAGAGCCAGGAGAATAACCTGAACATAGCAAGGAAAAATAAAAACAGACAAAGTCGTCTGGTAAGAAAACAAATCTGTAAAACAGGTGGATTCTATTACTCAGCTTCAAACGAACTTTCAAATTACAATTTGTAAAGATTCTGATTTCTAACAAACGCTACTAGCACAAGAAATTAACATATTAGCACAAACTCAGCTTACATACTTGTCTGTGACTATCAAATCAAGGAGAAAACACCACTATCTTCTTTTAAAAATTCATGCAACGAAATAACAAGGAAATAGGGAAAGGAGAAAGACATAAATTAACATTAATGAGGACCTATTCTATATCAGGCCTCTACATTTAAAACAACCCTGGCACTCGGAAAGGATTCGTTTTACAGATGGAAAAAACAAGCACTTAGCCATAATCAGTGACTTGTTCCTGGTGGGGTGACACCGATAGAATCTGTCTGATTCTACTGCATATGACACCAAAAAAAAAAGTCAGAAGGTACTTAATTCAGCACTTTGGTCATCTTAAAATTAACAAATATACTTTATTCCATTAAGAACTTTGTATTTATATGACAGCACAAAAGAAGAGTCAAAACAACACAAAATATGACCTGCCCTCCAAGAACTTACAGTCTATTAAAGAGAACAGAGATGCAAGCACATTCAAATCAAGAAACACCAGGCAGTGAATCATTGCTAATTGAAAAACTCCTACTAAGTAGTACCTGAGGCCCAGAGGGGCTGGTGTTGGGGGGGGTGGGGGGCGGGGGGTCAGGAACATAGTTTCCACAGGTGGGAAAGGTCTTCTGAAAAGTATAAGGTTAGAGTTAGAAGCTAGGGATGGAATAGGCACAATCAAAGGACTGATACACGCTACATCATGGATGAATCTTGAAAATATTATGAAAGAAGGGAGAAAAAACAAAGAGCCACTTATCGTTTTATTTCCTTCACATGCAATGTCCAGAACCAGCCAAGCCCCAGACACAGAAAGTAGACCAGCAGCTCTCAAAGTCTGGGAGATTCATGAAGAAGCTGGGGGCAGGGAGTCGTGGGGATGGCTGCTAGTAGGCACAGTCTTCTTGGGGGCGGGGGGGGGGGGGGGGGGAGGGGAGGTTGATGAGAGTCACATCTAAAACTGTTGGTAGTAATAGTTGCCTAACTCTGGGAATATGAGACACCACTGATCTGAGTTTTAACTAGGTGGACTGTATGGTTGATTAACCAGATGACAGATCAACTGTATGGTAAACCAACAATCTCTCAACCGAGACAGTGGAACAAGTCGGTGAAGCCCTGTTCGTTGCCACACTGCAAGATGGACTCACTTATGCCAAGCTTACGGTGCTGGGATTTATCTGAAAGACAATCCGACATGCATTCGTAAAGATTCACTTACCAAAAGCACAGAATATGTATTTAAGACTCTTCTCTAACAAAATTATGCACAGGCTTTAAGTACGTTCCTAAAATACATGCCAAAATCACAAGGGAGAAGGAACAGGAAAAAGATGTTATGATACAAGATTTTGACTAAGACACAAGCTGTGAGTATTAAGGAAAGCTGTTTTGCTTCAGTGCTAAATGCCACAGATGGTACATCAGAAACTATATATGCAGAACTACAAACTCACTGTGTCAAGTCTTCAAAACCATGATGTTCTCAAGTTAATTGTGAAAATAGCATTAGTAATTAATGCTCTATATTTTAGGGAAAGATAATGATCAATGTAATTCCTTTTTTTATTAGGTGACTGGTCTCTGTCTATAATGTTTTTTTTAAAGATATTAGCTTCAATTTACATTCTATCAGAACTCCCATTAAAACAAAATATTTCCGGGGCTGGAGCAATAGCACAGCGGGGAGGGCATTTGGCTTGCACGCGGCCGACCTGAGTTCGATTCCCAGCATCCCATATGGTCCCCTGAGTGCCGCCAGGAGTAATTCCTGAGTGCAGAGCCAGGAGTAACCCCTGTGCATTGCCGGGTGTGACCCAAAAAGCAAAAAAAAAAAAAAATTTCCTATTGAGACTTATACCACTGATTCTGAACCCTAACTTAATATTTCAAAATATTTTTTGATATACAAAAGAAGAGAAGATGGGAATAAAGCCAGACAATAGTGATGCAAAAGCAAAGTGCTCAAAAACAAACCTGAAAATTACACAGAATAAAAAGGGGGAAAGAAGAGATTCCGTGTTGGGTTCTACAGAATTAGAAAATACAAAGGGGACAAATAAATAATTTAAAATAAAATACTCAGTGAATAGAAGCTGATGACGCACTGACAGAAGCGAAGTTTGGAGTAGAGGCAGGAGACCCATCTCCAGGTACCCAGGAAATAAAGAAAGAACCTTTCAGGCTTGTTTACAGCTGAAGTCCCTTTTTCCCCCCAGGAGATGGCGATCTAGCAGGAACACAAAAGAACTCAGTCGGAGAATACCCTCACAACCAAACTAGTGTTCCTTTCTGAGTCACCTTGCAAACCTCCTTCAGGCTAGACAAGCCCCAAGAGACGAAATGAGACATCAGATCTCTCTGGAAACTCTTGTCTAAGACCCAGAGCATCCATCTGCCTCTGTTTGGGCTTTGTAAATTCTAGAACTTGATGAAACTCCAGTTCTTGACGTCTCAGCCATAAAGGTGACCTGGTTTACTAGCAAACAATAAAAGCAAAATAGAAAACGAATAAGCTATCTTTAAAAAAGAAGCCTTGTCACTGATACATAGACTACGGTATCTACTGTCACAAGAAAATAGAGCAAGATTCTCCAATTCCTAACTGTCAGCCAGCATTTCTACTTGAAGAAAAAAAAAAACAGTAAGACTGTACGACTCAGATCATTAGATGGCCTATGTTAAAAGAAACTTCTCCAAACTTTAATCAATTGTCTGCTTATTCCAAAGAGAGCCAGAAAATATAATGCTAATATCTATTTGCAACTAGTGTTCACCATACCGAACTCGCTCATTATTAATGAATACCAAAAACAGTCAAATGTGGATTATTCTCTATGTAAACATTAAAAAATGCACTACTAATTTTATTTACTTTTAAAAAATTAGAAAAGATGAGAACATGCTACCATAGATCAGAAAAGGAAGAGGAAACAATTTCAACCTAAGAATGAAGAGCTAGAAGCATTTTAAATGATAAAAAAATATTGGAAAGAATGATCTAGATTATAAGCACATTAAGCTAATATCAGAAACCCAAGACACCACTAAGAGGTTAAAATATAATTAACAAAATTAAAGTCGTGGAGATGAGATTCTTTTTAACACTCTCATTATGAATAACATGGGACTAGAAACACGATCTATAAACAGGAAGAACAAGAAACGTGCCAGCACCTGACACTGGCAAGGTAGCCGGAGCTCAAGGAATCAGAGATGACAAGTATCCCAGGGGGAGAAATGAGACCTGCTTGTCAATATCTGATTCTAAAAGACAAAAAAAAAATTATAAAAACTTGCCAAAAGGTGTGGAGAGCAATATTGTACAAGCTAAAGAAAATTGCTGAGACAAAGGTACACCAAATGTCTTAGAAAAATTTCTTAAGTATTTTCATGTATCTGGTGGCGAATGTTCTCATTAGCTTATAAGATGCTAAATCCGCAACACGTTTTTTTTTCCAATAATGAAAAAGCAATTTAAATCTTGGGGATCATACCTCAGAGAGCTCAGGACTTATTTCTGGCTCTGTGTGGAGGGATCACTCCTGGTGGGCTTGAGGGACATATGTGGTGCCAGGAACTGAACCCCAGTGAGCCATTTGAAGGCAACACCTTACCCTCAACACCATGTCTCTGGGCCAACTGAGAGAAATCTTACAAATATTTGCAATAACCATTTGCCTAAAGTAATTCTGCAGAGCAAGCGATATGAAATTTAAACGAGGATGCTTCAAATTTCAAAAGCTCACAGAGAAAAAGAAATAAAACTAGGATATCCTGAGCAACCAATTAAATTACCTTTTTTGTGTGCATTTTTTCCTGTACAGTCAAAAGCACATTCTAAAGTTTCTGCTAAACTTACTGAGTCTTAAATGAAAATACTCAAGCTGAAAAGGAAAAAAAGTGCGATTCAACTCAAACCATTAGTTGTTCTGCTCCACTCAAAACAACGTTTTATGAATTCTCCTGTGTGCTGGCCCATACCTTAATCTTAATTAAGGGCTAAGCTTGCCACATCTGAGTGGCTAGGAGAATTGGAACAGAACTGGGACGTTTCGGGACGCATTCACCAGCGCTGTCACTCACAGAAAGGCATCCGCAAGTACCTGAGCAAATAAACAGCCCTTTCAATATCACTGAGGTCTTCATCAACTGTCAGTCTTTCTATTTCTTCTGGCGTCTGTCAAGGGGAAAACACAGATCATGCATTCAAACATCCCACCATCCCTGCCCCCCACCCTAACCAGGGACCCTATCTAAAAAGACTTTTCAGGAGCACAGACGAAGGAGAAAACACCACTCCCCAGGATCAATGAGAACTCAGGAGAGGCAGATCCCAGAGTAGGGGTGGGGGGATCCCAGGCCGGGGCAGCTCAGACACCCGGGTCTCCAACAGTGCCTAAAGTGGGTGACGGCTTTGGGGAATTTGGGGTGCAGGGGTATGCTCTGAGCTTGGAACCGGAGAATCAGGCTGTGGCTTCAGAAATCGATTTTACTTGCACATATTTTTTTTTAAAAAAATAGTTAATTTTTAAAAGAAAAATCCACCAAGGCCCGACAGCTGAAACTCCAGCATTTCCAAGCCCCCAGAAAAACGCTAACAGATCTGGGTGGGGTGAAGACCTGCAGCCCGGTGGAGACGAGAGCGACCGGGTCAGGAGTCTGGGGGGGGCTGGGAAAGGAACATCCCGGGGCAGGAAGGAAATCCAGGTTGCAGGTGGGCGCGGGGGAGCCGGGGGGGCCCCGGGGTGCAGCGCAGGCGGGGAGCTCCGATGACACTGCGGGGTTCGGGAGCGAGTGGGGGCTGCGCGGTGGCGGGGGTCCGGGGGGGTGTGGGGTGTGGACACTCGGGACCGGGCGCGGAACTCGAGTTCGGGCGCTGTTTGGGGGGGTTGCGGGGAGGCCCGCGCCCACCCGGGGTGGCCAGGGGGGGGGCGGGGGGTCCGGGGCGGGAAGTGGGTCCCGACTCGGGCGGCTCCTGGGGCTGCGGGAGGGACGCGCGCGGCCGGCGCGGGGCTGGCCCCAAAGCCCCCGAGCCCCGACGGCCGTTCCCGAGCCCCGGGCGGGCTGGGGGCGGCGGGGCCCGCGTCGAGGACGGCCCCCGACGCCCCAGGGTCCGGGCCCGCACGGGGGGCAGCTCCGCCTCCCGGGCGCACCTTGAGGCTCCGGCGGACCGGCCTCTCGATGATGGTCAGCTCCTGCAGGTCATCCATGTAGCCGAACAGGCCGTTCTGGCTGAAATCCATCGCGGCGACGGCGGCGGGCGGCAGCGGATGCATGGACCGCCGGCCCCCCTCGCCGCCCGGGCCGCAGCGGCCCCGGGATGCCGGACACGCGCAGCCCCGCGGCCGCCAGCAGCCGGACTTGCTCCTGCTCCGGGTCGCCGAGCCGGGTGCGAGTCGGGCGGGCGGCGGGAGAAGGAGCCCGGCTCGCCGAGGGGGCGGGGCGGGCCGCCGGGGGCGGGCCGCCGGGGGCGGGGCCGGCGGCGCGGCGGGGCGGGGCCGGCGGCGCTACGGGGCGGGGCTAGCTACGAGGCGGGGCTGACGGGCCGGCCGGGGGGCGGGGCGGACCGACTGGGGGGCGGGGAGACCCTGCCTGGGGGCGTGGTCCGCGGCGCGGAGGGGCGGAGCTAGCTGCGGGGCGGGGCTGACGGGCCGGTCGGGGGCAGGCCAGACCGGCCGAGGGGCGGGGCCTGCGGCGCGACGGGGCGGGGCCGGGGCGGGCAGAGGCCCCCGGAGCCCGCCTCGGCTCCGCCCCCTCCCGGGCGCCGGGCGCGCGCGCGCGGGGGCGCTGGACGCAACTGCCGCGCAACGTCGCCGGGGGCCCCCGCCACCCCTCGGGGCTGCCTTCGGGGCCCTCGCCCCGCCCCCGAATTCGCGTCCCCCCCCCCTTCATACCCGCTACGCGTGCGCAGAGCCCCCCCTCCTTCCTCTGCTGGTGGAGGCGGGGCGGGGGCTGGGGTCTCGTTAGTTCCTTTGCAGCTGTCCGACCACCGTGGCCCAGAAAGGAGGGGTGCATGCCCCCCCCAAAAAAGCCGCTATGACGAGGTGTGTGTCTGTCGGAGCAGTGTCCTACAATGCACTCCTGGAAGAAGCGGCGTTGGGGGGATTTGCTCTGGACTCCGCAAAGCATTTCCACAGTGGAGACTTACAGGGTCACTAAAATGTTTCCAAGGGTAGAGTAAGGTCATTTCGAGTTGCATCTGGGTTTGTTTGAGTTGTGGGACATGGCAGAATGGAGCAGGAAGTTTGGGGGATGCCCTAGCTTGGCGGGGCGGTGAAAAAGGAAGAGTGAGTCCTTAATGAGGGAAAGTTCTGGCAGCACGAGAGTTGCTTCTCTTTGACTCCTGAGACCACGGGGTTGGGTTGTCCTTGCACGCGGTGGACCCGGGTTCCGTCTCTGGCTCCCCGCGTGCGTCCCTGAGCACAGCCATCCAGGATCACCGCAGTGAGTGTGGCTCAAAATTTAAAAACATGGAATAGTAGGAAGCGATGGGAAAGGGGCGAGTTTTGGACTTCAGCCCGACTACAGTTAAGTTGATCATACTCGAGCTCAGAAGAAATGAGCCAGCACCTTCGGTTCTCATGTGTTAGTTCCCACACTCCTTCTCCACGCGGCCCTTTCTCTGCTTCGCGTTTGCATCTTTGGGTTTGCATCTTCAGTCTGCAGAAGACGTGCTCCAGTAATGAGTGTTATGTACCTGCTTTGGCTTACCAGGATGACGCGGTGGTTCAGAGCTCATTTGTTTTGGTTTTTTTTTTTTTTCCTTCCCGGGAATATCTGAGAGACCTACCTGTCTGTGGCACTCATTGCCAAGAGCCCCTGGGTTCTGACCACTAACAGCGTTCCCTTTGTGCATCTAGCGCATTTTACTTAAGCGGTGGACAGGTCGGTTGCTGGCAGTTCCTTGTTATCACAGACAATGCTGGAATGTATTGGACGCGTCCCTTAGGGACCAAAGAAACAGAACTGCTGAGTCATGGAGATCTACCCGCCTGCATTCACTACCGCAGGGCTCCCTCCCCACAGTGGCTTTGCCAGTTTGTGTTCGTTCCCCGTATTACCCACTAACATTCATTATTGCCTGATGTCTGATCGGTCTGTCCTATTTCTATCATTACTGTAGTAGCACATTGAAATCTTTTTTCCACATATTTAAGAATCACTGAGATTTTTTTTTGCTTTTTGGGTCACACCCAGCAATGCACAGGGATCACTCCTGGCTCTGCACTCAGGAATTACCCCTGGTGGTACTCAGGGGCCCATATGATTCCTGCTGGGAATCGAACCCGGGTCAGCTGCATGCAAGGCAAATGCCCTACCCGCTGTACTATTGCTCCAGCCCCAGAGATTCATTTTTTTTATCTTTCTAATGTACCTATTTACAACACTTTGCCTGTTTTTCTGTTAGATTTCCTATTACTGGTCCAAATGAATTAGAGGAGTGTCTTTTAGTCTTTTATATTCCAGATATTAATCTCTCTCTTTTTTTTTTTTTTTTGCTTTTTTTGGGGGTTACATCCAGTGATGCACAGAGGTTACTCCTGACTTTACACTCAGGAATTACTCCTGGCAGTGCTGGGGGACCAGTATCCCATTTGGGATACTGGGAATCGAACCTGGGTCGCTCGCGTACAAGGCAAATGCCCTACCTGCTGTACTATCATTCCAGACCTGAATCTCTTGTCTTGGATAGTGATAGCTTTTCCCAATCTTTCACTAATCCTGTTAGCTTGGTGTACTGTACACTTAGTTATAAGGAAATGTTTCATTTTGGAGAGGAAATTTGGGTGGAGAAAATGCTTAATTTTGTGGAATATGTTTCTTGGGTCTTATTTAAGTATCTCTTTCTACCCACGGTGACAAAATAATCTCCTACCTTTCCCCTGTTTAGCTTTGTATTTTTACCTATCACCATCGCATCAGTTCATCTGGAGTTCATATCACATGTAATACAAGTAGAACTGTACATTTTTCTCTACAGTGAGTCATTCTCCCCTGCAGCGCCCACCTCCTAACCCCATCAGGCATGCAGTGGTTTCTCTGTTCTGTGCTGGTGTATCTCCTTGGACACAGGAACAACTGAACGGAAAAGAGGGGCCTTATTGGCAAGAACACAACTTAAGTCGGATGGATGTCCACCAGCACAGGCTGCAGAGCAAATATCAGAGAGGGGAAATATGAGAATCCAGTTAGAGTGATGTAACAGCCAATACATATTACATATTACATGTCTTTCAGGGGAAATCATGCATATTCATGAGGGGCGGGGGAGGTGAGCTTCTTCAAGGTACATAATTGTACATGATATGTACAGAAAATTTCAAAGCAACATCATTGAGGTGTGTTTGAGGAGGTAACAAGGAGAAAAGTGAGGGAGCCTTCATGTTCAAGGACCCAAGTGATAATATAGTGGGTAGGCATTTGTCTTGCACATGGCCGACACGGGTTCGATCCTGGCACCCCATATAGTCCACTGAGCACCGCCAGGAACGATCACCAAGCACTGAGCCAGGAGTAAGTCCTGAGTAAGTCCTGAATACCATGGATGTGGCACAGAAAAAATAAATAAAAGCTATGAGGCCTGAGGGATAGTACAGCAGAGGGGGGCCTTTGCCCTGCACACGGCTGACAGAGGTTCAGTCCTCAGCATCTCATATGGTTGCCTGAACACCACCAGGAGTGATTCCTAAGTGCAGAGCCAGGATTAACCCCTGAGCATTGCCAGGTACCCCCCCAAAAAAAATCCTCCCTGTTCATTGTCCACTGGTGGCTGCTGTCACCCCGAGCTCTGGCACCACTGTCACCCACACACGATTTGTAAGCTTCTGTGTTATGGTGGAAATCTAGGATATATAACTTCAGTTTTATAATTGATTTCTAAAGAAATTATTTTGCTCATGGGTCGTTTTCAAAGATGTCCACCCTCTCTGCCCTTGGGATGAACTTCCCTGTCCCACGTTAAAAAAAAGACTGATTGGGTGCATATGCTGCCTGAGCCCATGTGCTGCTTACGCCCATGTGGCAGAACACATGTGGTGCCCGAGCACATGTGTCGCCCGCGTCTCCCCTCTTGAGATGTGGACTTTCATGCTTTCGTGTCTAATGTTAGGATGTGTGTAGGGGTTCTCTCTCCGCCCTTGGGGAAGCCTGTGTTCTCTCTTGAGTACGTTACTCTCTTACTCTCTCCCCCTCCACATCTTAAAAATCCTCCAAATAAAATCTGTTACTTCACACACACACACACACACACACACACACACACACACACACACACACACAAAAGCTGATTGTAGGGACCTCCTTGTAGTCATTAATGCCATAAGGTGTGTGTGTTCCTGTGTGCATGAACATGAAGCAAAGTAACGATGCACTGTAGCACTGTCCTCCCGTTGTTCATCGATTTGCTCAAGCGGGCCCAATAATGTCTCCATAGTGAGACTTGTCACTGTGTTCGGCATATTGAATACATCACAGGGAGCATGCCAGGCTCTGTCCAGTGGGTGAGATACTCTTGGTAGCTTGCCGGGCTCTCCGAGAGGGGCAGAGGCATTGAACCCGGCTCGGCCGGGCTTGCTGTGCGCAAGGCAAATGCCCTACTGCTGTGCTATCGCTCCAGCCCTCATCAGTAACGATGAGTTCGCAATAATGCCTATAAAAACAGGCGCTTGGACCCCCGAGCTTTGTCTAAGGTTTCAAGTGCTTATCTATCCTAGACCCAACGGTCTGATCCACTGGTGTGATAAAGACCTCCTTGTCCCCCTGCCATGGGTTGTCTCAGTGTGCTAGATTAAGTGAACTCCCATTGGAACGCCTTTCTTTGTCCAGTCAAAGCAAAAAGAAGTGGCAAGATGACCACCCCCAGGGAGAGATGGATGCATGCTCCAAAATGAGCCTAGGACCAGTCTCTTATTACTTACATGACCTCAGAAAGTCCTGCTAAGTTGGTGGGGGGTGAGAGTGGGAAGGGGGCTTGAAATGGGACCCCAAATTGCTCAGTTTTTTTTTCCCTTAGAATCCAACCCCTATCTCTGTTTCTGGGCTCTCCCTGCCGTTTTGTTGATCTCGGCCTATTCCTGTGCCCTGGCAAGGGTTTCGCTCTATGGCTTTGTTTTATGTCCTTAATATCGAGGAAAGTGATTCCTTCTTCCCTCCTAATGGTCTGATTTGTCTTTTTTTCAATATTGCCTCTGAAGTTTGAAGTGAACTTGCTCCATGCTCGCGCCACTGCTGAAATTCAAGTGTTTTGATTCCTCCCCATGGAGTGACAAACAAATGGAAGAGGGTAGAAATTTGATGAGATCAGGGTGGAAAAGAGTCCACGTTGAGGGGCGGTTGTTGGGGGAGGGGGCGTTCCTTAGCAGATGCTTAGAACCACCACCACCACCACCCTTTGCCTGTTGGGGCAATTTCTGAACATTTCCTTTTG